TTTGTAGCTTCTTGATTCCGGAATGCATTCTCCCTATTTTCTCATATTTTTTTTTTCAGAAAATGCATAAAAATTGAAAATTTCTAGAAAAATTCATAAAAATTTCCAGAAAATAAAAAAAAAGTCAAATTTTGGGAAAATATGAAATTTGGTGAATTTTTTTAAAAAAAAAATCAAAAATTTCAAAACTTCACAGAATAGCTTAAAACACATGTGGCCACCCACTTTTAGTGAAATTTAAATTTTTTTAGGTGCCCAAAAAAATCAAAAATTTCAAAACTTCACAAAATGGCTTAAAATACCTGTGGCCACCTACTTTGAGTGAAATTTAAATGTTTTGAGGTGCCCAAAAAAAATAAAAATTTTCAAAACTTCACAAAATGGCTTAAAATACCTGTGGCATTTAAATTTTTTGAGGTGCCCAAAAATATAAAAAAAAATAAAAAAACTTCAAAACTTCACAGAATGACTTAGAATATCTGTAGCCACCCACTTTGAGTAAAATTTAAACTTTTTGAGGTGCCCAAAAAAATAAAAAAATAAAACAATTCAAAACTTCACAAAATGGCTTAGAATACCTGTGGCCAACCACTTTGAGTGAAATTTAAATTTTTTTAGGTGCCCAAAAAAAATCAAAAATTTCAAAACTTTACAGAATGGCTTATAATACATGTGCTTATAATACATGTGGCCACCCACTTTGAGTAAAATTTTAATTTTTTTAGGTGCAAAAAAAATCAACAAATCAAAACAGATTTCTGTTCCAGAAATCAATTTCTGGAACAGAATTAGTCATGTTTTACCAAATAGATTTCTCCTCCAGAAATCAATTTATGGAGCAGAATTAGTCATGTTTTACCAAACAGATTTCTCCTCCAGAAATCAATTTCTGGCAAGAATTCCATAAATCAATTTCTGGCAAGAATTTGATTTCTGGAGCAGAATGGTTACCATTCGCACCCTTACGGTCTCTTTCTTTCTCGAGAAGGCGAATAATAGTAACAGTAGGTCTCGAGATTGGTAAAATTTATGAAATGTGCACACACGAACGAATTGTGTCTCTGACCGACGAAATGACTGATGCTGCTGCTCCTTGTTCTCCGGCTTCCGTGCGCTTCGCGACTCAGAGCACCTCTCCAATGGTTTCAGCGCCGAACGCCTGCGAGCAATTTGATGGCACTGCCGTTTGTGGCAAAGCTCCCGCATTAAATTTAATTTTTGGACCGTTAAAAATTTCAAATTGATACACTTGTAATAATTTTACCCTAAACTAATATTTTTACTACAAAATACCGTGATCTTGTACATTTGTGATAAATTTACCCTCTATTAATTTCAGTTAAATTGGATTAATACAAAAAAAAAATCATAAGCTAGTACACTTATGATAGATGGAGGGTAAATCCCAAAACTGGTATATCCATCAATTACCGCGTGTCATTTAACAAAGTAATTTAACAGTAAAATTTAACGGAAACTAACACGGAGTAAAATTGTCACAGATATACCAGTTTAGAGTTTTTTTGTGGTCAAAAAAATTAATTTGGAATAAAATTACTATAGATGTACCAATTTAAAGTTTTTCGTGATATTAACCCCCAAAAATTATACCGTAATCCATCAGAAAATGGGAAGACAAAAGAAAAGGAGAGAAAGAGAGAATCGTATGCTTCTAAAAAAAATTCAAAGACGAGAGAGAGAGAGAGAGAGAGGGAGAGGGAGAGGGATTAAGGAACTGAGCAAATCTTGAAACGCATCAGCAAGCTCTGATCTTTGACTGTACACGCGGGGCATTCAACTGAAAAAGAAAAACGAGAAATCCCCGATTCCAGAGACTTCCTCCTGCCCTCTCTCTCTCTCTCTCTCTCTCTCTCTCTCTCTCTCTCTACACTGTGCGCAACAGAAAATTTGAAATCGGTTTTTGGCGCCCGGGATCAGCGCGGCTCCGGGAGCACGATGGCCAACGTCTCCTCCCGCCGGAACCTCAGCTGCTTCGCGATGAACGCCTCGATCGCCCGCTGGAACTCCTCGTTGCTCATCTCCTCATCTCCGCCGCCGCCGCCGCAGCAGGATCCCGCCGCCCTCGGCCTCTTCTCCGCCTCCGGAGGCCGGTGACCGCCGCTGCAGCACTCCTCCTCCTCGTCCTCCTCGTCCTCGTCCGCCGCCGCTGCGGCCTCTTCCTCGAGACCGACGGCGACCCCGCCGCCGCCGCCGCCTCGAGCTCGGGCGGCCGTGCCGACTTCGCTGATGATCGCCTTGTCCTCGTACACGACCTCCTCCGCCTCGCGAGCCGGCGGGAGCACGGGCCTGGCCCGGCTCTCGCTGATCTTGACGATCTCCTCGTACAGCTCCTCGACCGCGCCGCCGCCGCCGCCGGCCGGCCCGCGGGCGAAGGACCCGCCGGGCTTGGCCAGGAGGGCGACGATGATGGCGTTGCAGAGGGCGAAGACGAACAGTGGACGGGCGACGAAGCCGAGGAGGAGGAAGGAGTACTCGCAGGAGAGCCGCACGGCGAACGGGACGCGGGTGGAGACGCGGAGGAGGAAGAAGAGAGCCAACCCGAGCTCGAGCAGTCGGATGGCCGTCAGCACCACATTGAAGAGGAAGTAGCTGGAGAGCGCGGTCGTCTGCTTCTCCGGCTTGCCGCCGGAGCCGGCGGTGTCCATGGATTCCGGCGAGAGAGAGAGAAGGTGAAGCTTGGAAGCGAAGCTTTTTGGCCTTTTTTTTTTGTCTCTGCGGGCGAAGGTGATGCTCTTTTATAGGCGTGTCGAAGTCATACATAGACTAACGATATTATCTATCTTCTTTTTCTTGCAATTTTTTTTTTTTTCAGGATAATGACTTAAATAGTTCATGAATTTTGGTTCAATATACAATATAGTCTCTAAGTTTTTAATTTGTTCGATGTGATCCCTGAAATTTTAGTAAATGTTTGATTTAGTCTCTAAATTATGCGAAAATGTTCAATGTTGTTTTTCCATTAATTCAAGTTCAAAGACAACATTAAACATTTTCATATGAACACTGCATTAAAATTTCATGGATCACATTACGCATCGAGCTATAATTCGAGGACCACATTGAATAAATTAAAAGATCATAGATCACATTGCACATTAGGCCAAAGTTCGGGGACCATTTGTGTCATTTTCTCTTTTTTTGTCCTTTCCCTTTTTTCTTTTCCCTTCTTAGATGGTAAAATTAGGACGTGTGCTCGAACAAATATCGAATCGGGAGGATGCGTACGTTAGACTCACATGTATCATGCCCATGTGAGAAACTTTTTGAAAACTATTGCTTGAACCGTCACGATCATCGAACCATATAAAATCAATCGACAAAAGAGCTTAGCATCATGATATCAGCAAAGCTAACTTTTCTCGATAATGCATGCGCCCGTTAATAATCAAGGAATATAAATTATGCGTCCCTCATCATTCGCGAGGTTGTAGTCTCGTATTTTTCAACCGAAATCCAAAAATTGCCCAACACAGAACCGATACGGCTCGACATGTCGACAGGGTCGCGGGCACCGCAAGGGCTTCCGCCATCGTATATGGGATTTCAAGTCTCATCCTTGTCCTCCTCATGACATCAAAAGGGAAAGAAAAAAAGAGAAAAAAACATGAAGAACCAAAAGAGAATCCTTGTTACAAAGAGGGGCAAAGCATTCATGAGCCATCCATTATCCACTATGCAAACGAGGGCATGGAGTGTGCAAATCTCCCCCCAAGTTCCCACTAGGCCAGAAAAAGATGTGTGGATGGGCTCCATTTCCCCCCCATAAATCTTGCATCTTCTGCTTTATTCCCCTCTCTTTCAGGTGAAATGTTTCAAAAAAAATACTTTGCATTCGCATGCCTTGTATAGATTAACTTATCTCAAAAGCAGAGGGAGGAGAGGAGAAAAGCAAAGCCACACTGAAGCAAAAAGGGTTAAAAAGGGGGGCGAAGGCTCTGGTGGTGGAAAACATTGCAGCTGTGGAATCCTAAACACACAGTCAAGGCATAAAAAAACAAACAGAAAGAGAGTCGCCCTTGATTCAAGCAATGATGGAGATGAAAACCGATTTTGCTTGGTCTGCAGCCTGACGAGACCCTTTTCGAGAGAGTGATTTGCTGATTCGAAGCAGTGATCTTTTTCGACAGGAGATAACGCGAATGCCCGCTTTCTTGCCTGTAAAGACAGTATAGGGAATACATGGAAAGCTTTGTGAAGGTACACTAGAGAGAGAGATTTGGTTTATGTGACTCTCATCGCATCTTGATCTGTGTCTTTCCTAATCCTAGAATTCATTTGATTACGTGGTGCTGGTTCACTCCACTTAAAGGTGAGATTGACATCTCGTACGTTTCAAAGAGAATCCATCCTGTATGCAGAGAGGCAAATGGACCAGAAGAGGAGGGGAATAAGTTGCACATGAATTAGCACTGTGGAGCTTTTGAAGGAAAAATTGATGCCCTCTGATTGTGATGTGGCCTTTTCAATAATAGTAGCTTCTTTAGTTCATAAAGAAAAAGAATTGAAGAGCATCAAATCGGTATTTCCCACATCATGTGTTGTTTAGAACAGATTTCACTAGCGAGATAATGGCATTTGTAGTTCAGATTCCCTCGGTTTCGAATTGCATCCATCCTTTCGTAATGTAGATATTCCTTTTTCAAATATGACCTTTTTACCTTTGCTGCGAGGCCCCTCGAATACTTCGGCGTTTTGAATGACAGTTTGAATTAGAGAACAGTGCGTTTTGTATGTACAGACTAAGTACCTGGTTCGTATAGGATGGTGGTGGACATTGAAGTCTTGCACTGAATGAATAGGATGAAAAGTCGAAAAGCAACTTTCGGAGCCTTTCCCCTTTTTCCCCTTGACGAGATTTGTTGAAATGAGGGTTCAAAACAAGCAACATTTCAAAATTGGTTTTGTATAGCAATAAATCAATGTGAAACTGCAAAAGTGCAAACAGCTTCATAGCAAACAGCTTACAGATTTTGGAAACGTCCAAAAGAGCAGAAACTCATAAACATCATCCATTGATACTATTTTCAGCTAGCCTAAGGGTCAACAAACAGCTAATCACAGAGAGAGAGGATACCTCTTCTCAACGTATTTACTGTCGTTAACTCTTTATATTTACATGGAAACCCTATAACTTTCCACATAAAAACCCACCGTTTACAGCTCCCAACGCGCCTTCCCATGCTACATGCAGCCTGTGCTCTTTTCAAGTCCTCAATGTTTATCATCCTCGCTGAAATCTTACAGATCTGATACAACTTGTGGGACTGATATGCGATGAAACTTGCATTTGAGGGGCTCTGGCTCAGGATGATTTCATAACTGGCTCGTGGTAGAGACAAGGCTTTCAATTAAAAGTTGCCAGAGTGAGCTTCCTGCGACCGCTCTGCCTCTTGGAGCCAAAGCTTGATAGCATACTGCGTTGACAAGCTGATATTTCGGGTGAGTGCTGAAACCAGGATCCCTCCACGATTGACTGAACTCGGTCAGGAAGCTGATGGCTTCCTGAGGATGTGCTGGGCATCTTGAGTGCGTGTGTTGAGCCAGTGTTCAAGAGTAAAATAATCAGCAAACAGAAACAAAGCAAAACTCTACCATCATAAGACTGCATGACACGTCCCGATGCATAGGTTCTCAGGAAATGGGGAGAGGCTTACGTATGCACCCTTACCCTGATTTTTCAGAAAGGCTGCTTCCTCGACTAGAAACACGATAAAAAAAATTTCCCAACTGCTTTAAATCGCAGAGTTATTTAGTTTACCATTCTCACTATATACTAAACTTAATCAAAATGGAGTGAACTTTTAGTTCGAAAAGGTACAGAAGTTCTCTTTTTCTCATATCATTTCATTTTTCACCCAATCCTTTTGAACATGGAAGAAATAAATCAGTATCCCGTGCTTAGAAATATTGTAAGAGATTCGATGACGTAAAATTTCCTCACAAAATACTCTGACAGTGAATTACCTGAAAACATTTATTCATATTAGGAACCGGAAGAGTGCTGTAAAGGTCCGTAACCACCATCAGTGAAAGCCCATGTTCTTGCAACAGTGAGGCCATGGCTTGAAGCTTCACGAATGCAGCTGCATTTTTATACATCTGAAGGGTCAGAAGCTGTGTACATCAACCAATAGGTATTGAAGCCACTGGCATAAGCAGCGGTTTCACTCAGCATAAAATGTATTCCTCTGGTTCCCCAAAACCATCACCTGCTTCTACCTGGACAAGTAATCGAGCTTGGCATATGAAAATAGCTAGAGAAGAGGCAATTCAAAATGCTTCATTGTTTAAATTCCTCCTGAAGAATGTAAATACTAAATGCTGGAGAATTGAAAAGCAGAGAAGAGGAAAGAATGATAGTATTTATAATTAGCAAATGCAGTTGAGCTGGACTATAGCGGAGCTCGATTATGGTTAAAGACTATAAAGGAACTGTCTTTACTTTATGAAGGTGAATTTATCCATATTTCTACTGCTACAAACAGAAAGCATATGTATGGAGAATTTGACAACAAGTCTGTTAAGCCAGTACGGGAGAAGATGGGAAAACTGTCTACCTGGAGTAACCAACGGATTTTTCAAGCTGCAATTTGATTGGAACCATGCAGTGTAAACGTCATATCATGCATCAATTTGTGAATCATCCATTCTTCCAGCAACAAGGCAACCAAGCAAAATACAACCTCTACATACCTGTTGCTTTAGACAAATATTGGGCAAAATCAGCTTTTCCTGTCGCACCTTTTCTGCTGCCAACTCTGGTAACTAAAAATACTGGTGAAGAGCCCATCTAAATGGAACAGTGAAAGGATGCTCCGTTTAAGTCCTCAACATCATGAGGGAAGCCGCATCCTCAAGACTAGTTTCTCCCAAAAAAATTCAGAACGTTGCATAGTTGTTCACTCCGTAAATGAGATCTGTCACCAGCCACAAATGTGGACACACAGTCCTTCACCATAATCCAAGAACATCAAGTTCCAGCACAGCTTTTGTAAACTTTGTTTTGCTCCGGCAAGTTGTATAGCAAATAAAAGTCCAATAGAGTTTAAAGGTGAAAATAATGCAGAAACAGATCCATCCTGGAAAATTATCGACAATACAGACCCTCTTACAATGATCTAGTAAAGAAAAATAATGCCGTTTCAGCCTTTTCAGCCTTTTTATGATTAGAACATCTGAATATCAAAAAGAAAGAAAAAGTGCCTCCCTTTAAATTACGAAATATCCACAACTTCTACAGCCAACCTTCATAAAGTTATTCCTCAAAACTCAGTTGGAAAAAAAACACTTCAAAATAGTGTCTCAATCACTCATTATCATGAGCTTCCTCAGAAAACGTGATCCTATGTCAATTCCATTCAATAGAATCAACCCAGTTGAGAAAAGAAAAAATCCCTATGATCCCTTAAGTCTGAAAGACCATCATCCTGCTTCAAACTTCCAAACCTTAATTTACCGAGAGGCATCCTGGAACGAAGATCACAATCTCAGCACTAAGTAACCTATGAATCGTCAATGTGCTTAAACTCTTACCGTCCAGTGACCAATGTGGAAACCGGAATACTATGTGACAAATCTCCAGCATAATTAGTATGCGACAAAGGGGAAAAAAGTTATCTTCTCACGCTGTAGGGGCTCGCCTTTGAGAGAGCAATCCCCTCCCGAAAACCAAAAGCCCTGCAGTATGCTTAGGAGACTTTTGAGTAGTGGACGATTTGATGACCTCATACTGCTTCGACCTTTGAGATAGTCTCCAAAATGATTCTTTCACAAAGGACAACTAGCATATTCCACGCCGTTGTCAGTTGTTGCTCATGACCAGCAATGGTTTCCCCACATATCTGTGTCTTCGCAAGATCTAGCCAGTCAAAATTAATAGAGCTGACCTCAACTGTAATGAAAGATGAAGCATTGCTTCTTCAATCTCCAACATCATCCAGAAATATATCCACATCATTGAAATCAATTTCATCCAGACTCAAGAAATCCAAATTATTGTATATTTCTTCACACTCTAGATGAGTCCTGTCACCAGCTACAAATGTAGATACACGATCTTTCACCTTGATCCAGGACCAGCCAGGCTCCTTAATTACTCCCTTAGACTTCATCGTCTTCCTTATATCTGCCGCTTCCCTCCATCTCCCTTGGGCAGAATATATGTTAGCCAGCGTAATGTGAGTTCCAGCACAATGTGGATCGATCTCAAGAATTTGCTCAGCAGCGCGCCTTCCACGGTCAACATCACCATGGACTCTGCACGCTCTCAACAAAGTTGACCAAACAACATCATCCCGTTTGAATGGCATGATTTTGATAATGTTCTCTGCCTCAATTAGGCGACCAGCACGACAAAGGAGATCAATCATGCAGCCATAGTGTTCCTTTGTAGGAATGATCTGGTGCTTCACGCTCATTGTATCAAAATAACGAAATGCAAGATCAACCAGCCCGGCATGGCTACAGGCCGTAAGAACACCAATGTAGCTGATAGGGTCCGGTCTCAAGCCCACTGCAGGCAGTTTCTCAAATAAATCAATTGCTTCATGGCTGTATCCATGTTCAGCATATCCATTTATCATTGCCGTCCAAGACACGACATCATTGTTTGTTGCCACATCAAAGATTCGTGATGCTTCTTTTACACTCCCGCATTTGCCATACATGTTAATTAGAGCACTTTGTATCATAGACGTATGTTCTAAACCAATCAGCAGGACATGAGCATGCAGCTGCTTTCCTGAATCAAGGATAGCCATATTTCCACACACACTCAGGATGCTAGCAAGAGCAAACTCAGTTGGCTTTGGTCCTTCTCTTCTCATTAGTGATAGAAGCTCAAAAGCATCCTCACCGCATCGTCCATTTGAATACCCCGCGATCAATGTGCTCCATGAAACCACATCCCTCATTGTCATTTCATTAAAAACAATTGAAGCTGAATTCAACTGTCCACACTTGGAGTACATTGTCATAACGGAGTTTGCCACTGAAAGAGAACTGAAAAGACCTATGCATAGAACATGGGCATGCAATTGTTCGCCCCAGTCAATTTTGGTGAGATTGGCACAACCAGATATAACTGCAGCAAATGTGTATGCATTAGGGCTAGCATCTGATTCTCGCATCTTTAGAAAAGCTCTGATGGCAGATTCCTCCTGACGCATCTGAATGTATGTAGTAATTATTGTGGTCCAAGAAACCACATCTCGCGTTGGCATCCTTTCAAACAATCGCAATCCATAATCCAACTTTCCACACTTGTTATACATTGTCGCGAGGGTATTGGCAACAAATGAGGTTTCATCGAATCCTTTCTTTACAGTGTGAGTGTGTATCTCCCTCCCCTGGTCCAAAGCACCCAAATCAGCACATGCCTTCAGCGCAATGGCAAATGTATATGTATCACATTGCACCTTCGATCTCCACATTTTGGAGAAGTACGACAACCCCTCCCTACAATTACCACTACGAACTAGTCCGGTGATGATGGCGGTCCAAGAAACGACATTTCTCAGCGGCATCTCATCGAAGACCCAACAACCTAGCTCGGTTCTGCCCGTTTTAGTATACATGTCCAAAAGGGTACTGCCCACAAAAACGGAGTTCTTTAGTCCCGATTTCACAGCATACCCATGTAATGACTCGCCAAGTTTCAGATTCACGTCGAGTCCACAGGCCTTGAGCGCGAGACTGAGGATGAAAGGGTCCATCTTGAGCCCCGGCGCAACCCACATATTCAGGAACAAGCCCAGAGCCTCGCCGGCGTTCATGGCAGTGACATATCCGGAAATCATCGTGGTCCACGAAATCTCATCCCGGCGAGGCATATCGTCGAACATCCTGCGAGCATCGCACAACTGACCGAGTTTCACCAGCTCCTTCAATCGCGAGTTAACCTCGGGCATGCTCGGACGACCCGCCACATCGGACTCAGTAGTGGCAAAGTGATCCGGCATCGTCCCTTGGAACAGGACACGTCCGTGATCAGCCCATGGCATGCTCGAGCTCGAAAACAGCCTCCAAACGCGAGGCCTGCCTAGCGAGCTCATCATCGTCCTATACATACACAGCCACGTGACCCCATCGAGTCGGAAGTTTTTCGTTCCCTTACGTTTTACCGGGGTCCTAAGATTGAAGTCGCAAGTGGTGCGACCTATGTTGATCAAGCCATGGAGCTCTTGTATGGAATCCAGAAAACAGTGACAAGACGTAACGTGACCGACAAATAGACCTGTCCAACGGGTGGTCCTAAAAGATACATTTAACCCGATACATATCCGATCCGATCTATATTACTAAAGTATTTTTATATTTAATCAAATTTAGAAAAATTCATACTCAAACTGAGTTGAGAGTGCGGAACGAGCGAGCGTGAAATTGAGTGAGGGTGCGAAAGAATGAAGAGAGATTGATAGAGGTGGGTTGGGTCTAAGTAAATTGTAGTTCCATTTAATATTTATATTATGTTGAGTTTTACCATTTTAAGCATATTTATGACTCATTTATAAAATATAACTAATTCATATAACAATTCAGCCCATCATATATAAATTAAAAAAAATAACTTTATAATCCATTTTGATAAATCTACTGCAAATGACGACGAAGAGAAGGAGGCCCTTATCATATACGACATGTCATCTACTAAAAAGGAAGGAAAAGCTAAGAGGCCGAAGCACAGCCCAAGCAAATCTGGCCCATGAAAACCGTCAACAACAAATGAAACAGAGATTGGTCGACGTCGACGACCGGTCGAAGTGATTATGTTTATAGGTTGTCACAATGCAGTGCAGTATGTGGCCATCGATGATAGGATATCTCCGAGGATCAGGTTTTCAGGGGATCGGCGATCATTGGATCAAGAAATATTGGTAGATTAGGTTTATACTAAAGGGCATAATTGTCATTGTATTGTTTTTAGCCCTAAACCCTATGTATATATATTGTAAATTGTTCCATCAATGAAAGTAACGTTTGCCCAAACTCTACAGGGTATCAGAGCAGTGATCCTCGAAGCTCGTCTCTCACATCCCTTAAGCAATATCTAGTCCTCCTCTGATTCGGTCAGATCGATTCGCCGGCGTGGTTTGATTTCTCAGTGTCATCGCTGCTTTCGTCCAGCGTTATGGTTTTGCTTTCTCGTCAAAATTCTCGAGATCTTGTTTGCCGGTGTTGATCTCTGCCTCCCGCGAACCTATCTGCAATTTGCTGCATCCTCGCTGATTCGCCATCATTGCTGCCTTGGTCCTGACGTTCATCGGTCGCCACAAGTCGCCATGGTAGACAATTCTCAAACCTCTTCAGCCATCGCTCCTGCACATGAGCAGAACAGCCCTTATTTTATGCATCCTTCTGATAACCCTGGATCTAATCTCGTCGGCATGGTTCTTACGGGTGATAATTACAACAATTGGTCTCGTGCCATGGAGATTGCCCTTTCCGCCAAGAACAAGATGGTATTTGTTACTGGAGAAACAAAAAAACCAGCCGCAGCCGATCCTACCTATGTGTCATGGATTCGTGTTAACAATATGATTCTATCCTGGATTCTTAATTCCATCCATCCAGATTTGGTGCCAACGGTTCTCTACACAGAGTCAGTTGCGGATGTTTGGGCCGATCTCCGCGAACGTTTTTTGGCATCGAATGGTCCTAGGGTTTTTCATCTTGAGCAAAAGATATGCACCCTTGCACAACATGACGATGCCGTGACCAAGTACTACAACAACTTGCGAAGTTACTGGGATGAATTGAATAATTTGGATCCGTTACCGCAATGCTCTTGTTCAGCTCATTCTATCATTACCAAACAACAAGAGAATCGACGATTGTTTCAATTTCTCATGGGTCTCAATCCGAGGTACGCTAATGTTATTAGTCAGATTTTACTAATGGATGCATTACCTAGTGTTGCACGCGCATATGCACTAGTTCTTCAGGATGAGTCGCACCGCCATATCCAATTGGATTGCCCACCGTCCGATCAGACCAACAAGTTGGATGTGGAGAAGGTCTTTCACATGACAGGAGGTGTTGGCAACACTAGCTATGCCAAGAACTCTTCGCTTCAGGTCTCTCTCTCTCAAAATAGGACATTTTTTTCATGCCTCGCGATTTGATTTTATTCACTTCAGTAACTCTCTCTCTCTCTCTCTCTCTCTCTCTCTCTCTCTCTCTCTCTCTCTCTCTCTCTCCACAGAAGAAGGCAGCTGATATGGTGAAGAGCATAACCATGGAGGCAGTGCAACAAGTGTACCTGAGTCTCATGCCAGAGAGCATTGGAATAGCTGACTTGGGGTGTTCCTCAGGACCCAACACCCTGTCCATCATCAGGGATGTGATTGAGGCAGTGCAAGGGACAAGCCAAAGGGTCACGAGTCCAACCCCAGAGTTCAGGGTCTACCTCAACGACCTCCCCACCAATGACTTCAACTCCATCTTCAAGGCCTTGCCAGATTTCCACAGAGAGCTCAGAGAGGCAAGAAGGAGAGAGGGTGGGCTTTGTCATCCTCCTCTGTACATGGCAGCTCATCCAGGGTCCTTTTATGGGAGGCTTTTTCCCAACAAGTGCTTGCACTTTGTCTATTCATCCTACAGTTTGCACTGGCTCTCAAGGGTAACAAGATACTATCCTCTCCCTCACTTTTTTTAGCCCTGTTCGGGTCACTGGTGAGAGCCTCACTTGTCACTACACCCATTTTGATACCATTTCAAGGAGAATCTTGAATTTTATAGCATAACATCTTGATTGAGCTGAGTCCCATTTTTTGTACCAGTAAGTGGAAGAATTATGCCAATGAAAAAGGATGAAAAGGACCACCGACCGAGAAAGAAAAGGACACACTTACGGGTTTGGTAGCCCAAATTGTATCGCTTATTGCTTCTAAGTGGCATTTTTAGGATAATAAAGCCATGATGTACTTAACTATCTGCAAATGACGAAAAAACATCTTATCATCGGATCAAACTGCCCAACTCACATGTCCTTTTTTCAGGTCCCTCCGGCACTCTGTGATGAGAACAGAGAACCAATCAACAGGGGCACCATCTACATCTCTGAGTCCAGCCCTCCCTGTGTAGCCGAGGCGTACTTGCGGCAGTTCCAAGAGGACTTCACATCATTCCTCCACTTGAGATCTGAAGAGCTGGTGTCTGGAGGCAGAATGGTGCTGATCTTGCTCGGCAGAAGGGGCCCCCACCATGTTGATAGAGGCAACTCTTTCTTCTGGGAGCTCCTCTCAAGAAGCCTCTCCATGTTAGTTGCAAAGGTAACCTCAATTCCTAAGGCATCTTCAAGCTCTTTTCTATTTTAACGTCAAGTACTACGGTATGAATAAAATTGTGCGCCCGTTTTCTATTGGCTTAAACTTTTTGGAAAGAATGGTTTAGTCTGACATGGTGCCAGAGCACAAGTCACTAGATCGAATTCTAATGCTCCTTTTGATTTTCTTTTCGATGTCTGTTGTTCTCGTTACGCCATCCGCTTTTCCCGCCTCTTGTTGTCTGTATGACGTGCTTACGTCCACATCCTGTGCTGTCATGTGTAATATCGGACTTATCTTGAGTAATATGTATACAAATGTTTTTGCCCGTATTCTATTAGTTAAAAGTTTAGAAAAAGAATGTCTATAATTAAAAATTGTACTCGGTTGTGATTTGTGTCTCGACAAATTCAATTGTTTCTTGATTCTTTCAGGGAGAAGTGGAAGAGGAGAAGCTGGATTCCTATGATGTGCACTTCTACGCACCTTCCGAGGATGAAATGGAACGCGAGATCGAGAGAGAGGGGTTGTTCCGATTGGACCGCTTCGAGACGTTCGAACTTGAGAGGGACGAGAGAGATGGTGTGAGCTACGGAACAGCGGTGGCAACCACTGTCAGGGCCATCCAGGAGTCCATGATCTCTCACCACTTTGGTGAAGGGATTCTGGACGGCCTATTTGAGAACTACGCAAGAATCTTAGATGAAGAAGCGGCCAGAGAAGAGATCAGGCCTGTCACTTTCCTTTTGGCACTCACAAAATTATGACTGCGCTTCAGTAACGCGGGCAAACACTCGCCTCGACAGATCGGGTCCATCGCAGCTGTCAATCTCGCAGCGTTCCAATAGAATCCAGTCATCTGCGAAAGCATGTAGTCCGTAGACCCGGATCGAGGAATCATCTGGTAGCATAAGAGACCCAGAATCTAGGAACTAGTTATTGTTTTGTGCTTTCTGCTGTACTCACTCACTGCCCAGTACTCTTGCATCAGGAATTTAGGAATCTCATGAAGCTCCAATTGCATGTGCATGAAATCTCACTCTCTATTTTTCTTCAGCTCTTTTGCATTCCCTTCTTCTTCCCCTTTTTTTGTGCAAGTTGAATGAAGATCTCATAACCCAAAACTCACCACAGCGCGAACTTCTTCTCCGGCGTCACAAAGGTTCAGTCAATCACAGATGCATCTGTTAATAACACTAATTAGCAAAACTTATTTCCTCAAAGACCTGTTCAGAACCCAATTAGCAAAACTTACTGCATCTTCCACTCTCGATCGGTTGATTGCACTTTTGAAAGTTTAACAGTTAGCAGAAGGCTGATCGGTTGCGTTCCAACCAAATGCACCATAAAAAAACACTAATTTCCTCAAAGACCTGTTCAGGTTCCTGCTTATCACAGAAGTCAGGTCAACTTTCTTGGTAAATACAATTTGCAATCTCAGACTTCTACAATTTAACTTCTCAGATAACTAAATGAATTTTCTCTATTTGTAGCATTTTTCAAGAAATGTGTTGCAATAGGTAAGCAAGATCATGATTGGAAAACCTTACGATCATTCTATATATATAATTTATAATGGTAATATAGAATGGTAATACTAAAGTTATTATGCCAATTCAAAGATTATTCCGTATATTTTGCATTTTAATTAGTGCTTTTACCATTCAAATTACACGGAGCAATTAACTTTATAAGTTACTGTCATTTAAAAGGACCACTGCTAAACAAATGTAAATTACTGCACAATTTAATTTATAAGCTAAACGTGAGGAACTACGTTTAAAGCTTCTTGCTGAGAGCATCAATTTACCCTCCGTCCCACGATCGATCGTCTTCATCTAAATATTGTCCTCCAATGAATTAAATTAATCAAATGGGATAAGTGCTTCCAAAACTTTTCACGAAAGTATAATTGAGTTCTAAAACTTTCAGAAAGTACAATTAAGTCCTAAAACTTATTACCAAAGTCCAGTTGCGTCCTCAAACTTTCAAAAAGTGCAATCGAATTATAAAATTTGTCAAATTGATCCAGTCACATAATTGCATTTTCATGACAATTTTAGAACTTCCATGCACTTATCCCTAATAAAATAGCAATGATTGGATTTCGCATGATTGGTGGATTAGGATTTGAGACCTCATGTTGTTGCTCTTGCATGTGAACAACTTTTTAATTTTCAACATGATTGAATATATGTCAAGGTTTGCTCTCTACCTTCCTAAAAAAATCCCTAATTTGGTTACAAGATTCCAAGCCAAACATCCAATTACCACATCATTAAGATAGCCCTCTTCATTACATCTCCAAATTTACATCCAAAACGTTCAAATTCGACCCGAATTATTTCCCATATGATTTATCGATTATTTGATGTTTAGTTGTGTATCTCAACTTGTTTATGGCTTTATCATGGTGTTTACATACAAAATCCTTTTTTGAATTTTCCTATTTATATTTTTTTTAACTATTAGATTCTTTTTCTAATTTTTTGCAATATTTCGAGCCGGTCTAAGCCTTTTTCGGCCTAAACTACTCATGATTAATATCTTGGACTCACCTAGGAAAAAATTACAAAAAAAAAAGTCCAAATCTCAGCAAAGCCTTTCTAGGCTTGCGAAAATCAGTTTAGGGTAGACCCAATTTTTAAATCGGACCAAACTGGCCGATTTGACCAGAAACCGGTTGGTCATTCAATCTGGTTCCTATTACCATAATGTCTCAACATCAAACTAGTCAAATACCAATTTTGGCCCACTTTTTCATATTCAATCCATACTATTAACATATTGTAGCTCGATCATTTGGTATTTAATGGCGTATTTCGACTTGTTTATGATTTTATTATGGTGTCTAGATAATTTTTTCTATTCATACCATTTTTAGTTTTTAAAATACTTTGAACTGGTTCGAGCTTTTTAAGCACAACCTACTCATGATCAATGGCCTGGACTTGCCCAAGAAAAAAAAATGAGGAGGCCCAAAGTCCGACCACGCCTTTCCAAGCTTGAAAAGAATTAGTCCAAGCCAGAGCAATTTCTTTTTCTAAAATCGGATCAGACGGGCCAGTTCAATCGGATATCGGTTGGTCACTCGATCGGGCTCATATTATCGTACGCTAGAGCATCAAACGAGTATTTCGACCCTTTTTTTTTCAAATTCTACCCATATTACCATATCATTTCTCGATCATTCGATATTTAATGGAGTGTTTCAACTTGTTTATGGTTTTATCATGGTGTCTAGATAATAACTTGTCTACCTTTATATTTTCTTATTCTTATTCTTTAATTTTAATTTTTTTTTACATGCATTGAGCCGGTCCGAACCTTTTAGGCCTAAGCTACTCATAATCGATGGCCTGGACTCACCCAAGGAAAAATAAAAAATTTCGAAAGGCCATAGAAAAAAATCAGTCTAGGGTTGACCGATGTTTTTACAAACGGACCGGACTAACTGGTTCGATCGGAGATCGAACGGTCATCCAATCCGATTTACATTATTATACCTCTAAAACATCAAACAGGTCAAAAATCGGTTTTGACCCGAATCAACCGTTAAGCTGGTCGAACCAATGTTTAATATAACCGGATTTGCACAATTGAAAATTTAAAACAATGAATCGAGAGAGGAGAGACTCGAACCTTAACCTATCATATTCACAGCACACTCCAAAGCAAGTTCAACCAACCGTTGAAGCATCCCGTCTTGTCTCCTAGAAGCAAAAGTTGAAGTCGAACTTAAAGAGGAGGATGAACGAAATGCTCAAACGCACATCTTTTGAATCGGTAAATCCGCATCTGCGAGAAAATTTATGTCCTTCGAGATTATCTTCGTGCATATACAAGTGAACCGACCCATTTAAACGGTCCAATTAGTTGAACTGGTTGAACTAAATATTCAGTTATGCACGTCAACAATTCGGGGATGTAATTCAACAAAATGATAATCGATGTAACTTTTCGGACAAGTGCATGAACAATTTTTTCACAAAAAATCACACACACGAATACTTTTGAATTCCAAACAAGATTACAGAGATCACTGGCGATATTACCCTTAAGTATATCACGAAATCTCCTCAAAGAACTTGGGAATCACGCAAGACAAGATGGGAGGAGTCATTTTTTTTTAGTCTTTAAGAAAAAAATCCTATTTAATGGAGAAAGCTAATTACAATACTTGAAATATGTTAAATTTTTCTCCCTGTAGCTGCAAAATGATAAAAATATGTATATATGAAATAAAATATAGGAAGAAGAAGCAAGTGGGGAAGAAATATGTAAGAATCCCTGATTAAACAAAATAATCGGCCTGACCCGCAATTTATCTATGGTGGAAGTAATAATTACGCCCCAATGTTAGTGACAAAAGAGCAAGAAAAGTGCCATTAACATGCTAAAGAAGTTTGGCACTCTTATATTATAATCAAAAATTTTTAAAAAAATTAGTTAATTCTCGAAGAATCTGCTCCGTTCGAACGATGGAAAAGGCAAAAGTGACTTTTTGTTCGAGTTGCTTTCAGCTGACGACAGATCAAAATGCACATTAATGACAAAAAATAATTAATTAATAATGGTCTTAACGTCTAGGAAAAAGTACAAAAATTTCAAACTTTATATATTGCGACACATTTATCCTAAATTTTTTCTTGCGAAATAAATAACCAAAAACTTATTTTTATGTGACATGTTTACCATCCATCAAAATTTAGTTAGATGATGTTTTCAGTTAAAGTAACGACGTTTTTATTTCACTTAAGTCACGTGAGCAAAATGTCAATACCATTTGCTTTATGACATCAATTTAGATGGATTTTTAACGGTTCTCATTAATAAAATTTTGATTGATAGTAAATGTGTCACACAAGTACAAGTTTAGGATTAGATTAAAGTTTAGGATAAATGTATCGCGATGGACATAATTTAGACCTTTTGGTGACTTTTTTTCCGATGCCTATAAAAAGTTGATGGCTTTTCTCATGCTATTTTCTCTAGGGCTCGTTATAAAAGATTAACCCATCATTTCGACGAGATAGAACGATAGGAGTGTTTCTTAGACTTTTGATCATGATTGATTCTTGCCCTAACCCAAAAATGATATCTCGATTTTAGTCCTAATCATTCAAAAGAAGCCCTAGCCCAGGGACAAGATTAATGATGCCGCCTTGGGCACACCATTAGAGGAAACTTCTCTTGTACTGCATGCTTTAAGTACATTTCTCACAATATTTTACATATAATCAATTAATTTACATTAATTAATCGCATGCCGCTACTATTGAGAGGGGTATTTCCACATAATTTATTCTTTTTTAGATGAAATGCGTAACAAGATATGTATTGTATATGATAATAGGGATAAATGCACTAGAAGTCCTAAAACTTGTTACGAAAGTGCAATTGAGTCTTAAAACTTTTAAAAAATATAATTAAATCCTTAAATTTATTAAATTTGTGCAATTAAGTTTTACCGTTAAGTTTGTCTAATTTGGCTAACACAATGAATTAGATAAATGATATGGTGGATAATGTGAAAATGTGCTTTTGCATTTATATATGGTGAAGAGACAAGACAGAGCTAGGGATGCTACATGTTAGCCTGACAAATAATTGTTGTTCAATGTAGCAAATGCATAATGACAAATTGGTCTACATCTATAAACGACCCACTAGGTATTAAATGCAGAAACGAAACTTGCATTGGCTACTACCTATGGAGGGTTTACGGCAAAAAAGAAAATAACTTAAATTTATAGTTTAAAAAGCTCTTCGTACCATCCCAATGCAAATAATTTCTTATTTAGACGAACGAATTTACTCCACTCGTCCTATTGGGGAAAAGAACACCGTGCCATAATTTTGTACAAACACCCGCTTTGGTGCCATAAAGGATGATCGATACTCAGGTAATCTGGTTCTCACCTTAAAACCGAGAATCGGACCGATTCTCGAGTGGACCAATAGGACAAGCGGCATATTTAATGAGTTACGTGTAACATTATAGGTTTGACAAAGAACTTTTCAATTTGGGACAAATTTTGGTTAGAATGAGCAAATACTACTGTATTTTGTTTTGTTCTTGTCATTTTACACACGTGCATAAATCAACGTAATCGCTAAAAAAAAATCGATTCGATCAGGGTGATCCAAGTTCCACGCCCGGAACCAGACCAAAATTTCCCGATTCCAATTTTACGGAACCGAGAACCGCCCGTAACCGATTTGGGCAACTCTTTTTGCTCACCTCTAGGTGCGCCATTGCTTATCAATCGAATCATTCGAGTCATTAATTTCTCAACTGATCAACCGAGCATCGAAAAACCCCGACATCACAATAAAAAGATTTACGGCACTCACAGTCACGGCCAACATTTTTCTTTCTTCTTCTTTAAAAGTTATGTCCATCAAGAGGATCGCTTGAAAAGCCGCGGCGCCGAGACCAATGCTGTTTAAGAACCGCGACGCTCAAGCGATCAACCGGCAAAGCCACGGGTACCCAAAACCAAAAAAAAAAAAAAACCCGGCGCCGCAGTTCGAAAGTCAGGAAACTTTACGGTCTCTTTCTTTCTCGAGAAGGCAAATAATAGTAACAGGAGGCCTCGAGATTGGTAAAATTTATGAAATGTTGCACACACGAACGAATTGTGTCTCTGACCGACGAAATGACTGCTGCTGCTCCTCCTCCTCCTTGTTCTCCGGCTTCCGCGCGCTTCGCGACTCAGAGCACCTCTCCAATGGTTTCAGCGCCGAACGCCTGCGAGCGATTTGATGGCACTGCCCGTTTGTGGCAAGGCTCCCGCATTGAAATCCGAATTGAATCCCCCCGTCCCCCAAAAAAAATTAGGCTAATATTACAAAAAATTCAAAACTCGTACACGTGTAATAAATTCATTTAAAGTTAATTTTTTTATCATAAAAAATCTTAAATTGATACATCTGTGATAATTTTACCTTAAATTAATATTTTTACTACAAAATACCGTGAACTTGTACGTTTGTGACAAATTTAGTCTCTATTAATTTCAGTTAAATTAGATTAATACAAAAAAAAAATCACAAGCTAGTACACCGATGATAGATAGAGGGTAAATCCCAAAACTGGTATATCCGTCAACTACCGCGTGTCATTTAACAAAGCAATTTAACAGTAAAATTTAACGAAAATTAACACGGGGTAAAATTGTCACAGATATATCAGTTTAGAGTTTTTTTGTGATCAAAAAATTAATTTGAAATAAAACTATTACAGATATATCAGTTTGGAGTTTTTCGTGATATTAACCCCAAAAATTATACCGTAATCCACCGGAAAATGGGAAAACAAAAGAAAAAGAGAGAAATAGAGAATCGTATGCTTCTCAAAAAGTTAAAAAAAAAAAAAAATCAAAGACGAGAGAGAGAGAGAGAGAGAGAGAGAGAGAGAGAGAGAGAGAGAGGGATTAATGAACTGAGCAAATCTTGAAACTCATCAGCAAGCTCTGATCTTTGACTGTACACGCGGGGCATTCAACTGAAAAGAAAAACGAGAAATCCCCGATTCCAGAGACTTCTTCCTCCTGCTTTCTCTCTCTCTCTCTCTCTCTCTCTCTCTCTACACTGTGCGCAACAGAAAATTTGAAATCGGTTTTTGGCGCCCGGGATCAGCGCGGCTCCGGGAGCACGATGGCCAGCGTCTCCTCCCGCCGGAACCTCAGCTGCTTCGCGATGAACGCCTCGATCGCCCGCTGGAACTCCTCGTTGCTCATCTCCTCATCTCCGCCGCCGCCGCCGCCGCAGGATCCCGCCGCCCTCGGCCTCTTCTCCGCCTCCGGCGGCCGGTGACCGCCGCGGCAGCACTCCTCCTCCTCGTCCGCCGCGGCGGCGGCCTCTTCCTCGAGATCGACGGCCCCCCCGCCGCCGCCCCGAGCTCGGGCGGCCGTGCCGACTTCGCTGATGATCGCCTTGTCCTCGTACACGACCTCCTCCGCCTCGCGAGCCGGCGGGAGCACGGGCCTGGCCCGGCTCTCGCTGATCTTGACGATCTCCTCGTACAGCTCCTCGACCGCGCCGCCGCCGCCGGCGGCCGGCCCGCGGGCGCAGGACCCGCCGGGCTTGGCCAGGAGGGCGACGATGATGGCGTTGCAGAGGGCGAAGCGGAACAGCGGACGGGCGACGAAGCCGAGGAGGAGGAAGGAGTACTCGCAGGAGAGCCGCACGGCGAACGGGACGCGGGTGGAGACGCGGAGGAGGAAGAAGAGAGCCAACCCGAGCTCGAGCAGTCGGATGGCCGTCAGCACCACATTGAAGAGGAAGTAGCTGGAGAGCGCGGTCGTCTGCTTCTCCGGCTTGCCGCCGGAGCCGGCGGTGTCCATGGATTCCGACGGGAGAGAGAGAAGGTGAAGCTTGGAAGCGAAGCTTTTTGGCCTTTTCTTTTGTCTCTGCGGGAGAAGGTGATGCTCTTTTATAGGCGTGTCGAAGTCATACATAGACTAACGATATTATCTATCTTCTTTTTCTTGCAATTTTTTTTTTTCAAGATAATGACTTAAATAGTTCATGAATTTTGGTTCACTATACAATATAGTCCCTAAGTTTTTAATTTGTTCGATGTGATCCCTGAAATTTTAGTACATATTTGATTTAGTCTCTAAATTATGCGAAATTGTTCAATGTTGTTTTTCCATTAATTCAAGTTCAAAGACAAAATTACACATTTTCATATGAACACTGCATTAAAATTTCATGGATCACATTACGCATCGAGCTATAATTCGAGGACCACATTGAATAAATTAAAAGATCATAGATCACATTGCACATTAGGCCAAAGTTCGGGGGACCATTTGTGTCATTTTCTCTTTTTTTGTCCTTTCCCTTTTTTCTTTTCCCTTCTTAGATGGTAAAATTAGAACGTGTGCTCGAACAAATATCGAATCGGGAGGATGTGTACGTTAGACTCACATATATCATGCCCATGTGAGAAACTTTTTGAAAACTATTGCTTGAACTGTCACGATCATCGAACCATATAAAATCAATCGACAAAAGAGCTTAGCATCATGATATCAGCAAAGCTAACTTTTCTCGATAATGCATGCGCCCGTTAATAATCAAGGAATATAAATTATGCGTCCCTCATCATTCGCGAGGTTGTAGTCTCGTATTTCTCAACCGAAATCCAAAAATTGCCCAACACAGAACCGATACGGCTCGACATGTCGACAGGGTCGCGGGCACCGCAAGGGCTTCCGCCTCTCATATGGGATTTCAAGTCTCATCCTTGTCCTCCTCATGACATCAAAAGCGAAAGAAAAAAAGAGAAAAAAACATGAAGAACCAAAAGAGAATCCTTGTTACAAAGAGGGGCAAAGCATTCACGAGCCATCCATTATCCACTATGCAAACGAGGGCATGGAGTGTACAAATCTCCCCCTAAGTTCCCACTAGGCCAGAAAAAGATGTGTGGATGGGCTCCATTTCCCCCCCATAAATCTTGCATCTTCCGCTTTATTCCCCTCTCTTTCAGGTGAAATGTTTCAAAAAAAATACTTTGCATTCGCATGCCTTGTATAGATTAACTTATCTCAAAAGCAGAGGGAGGAGAGGAGAAAAGCAGAGCCACACTGAAGCAAAAAGGGTTAAAAAGGGGGGCGAAGGCTCTAGTGGTGGAAAACATTGCAGCTGTGGAATCCTAAACACACAGTCAGGGCATAAAAAAACAAACAGAAAGAGAGTCGCCCTTGATTCAAGCAATGATGGAGATGAAAACCGATTTTGCTTGATCTGCAGCCCGACGAGACCCTTTTCGAGAGAGTGATTTGCTGATTCGAAGCAGTGATCTTTTTCGAAAGGAGATAACGCGAATGCCCGCTTTCTTGCCTGTAAAGACAGTATAGAGAATACATGGAAAGCTTTGTGAAGGTACAGTAGAGAGAGAGATTTGGTTTATGTGACTCTCATCGAATCTTGATCTGTGTCTTTCCTAATCCTAGAATTCATTTGATTACGTGGTGCTGGTTCACTCCACTTAAAGGTGAGATTGACATCTCGTACGTTTCAAAGAGAATCCATCCTGTATGCAGAGAGGCAAATGGACCAGAAGAGGAGGGGAATAAGTTGCACATGAATTAGCACATGAATTAGCACTGTGGAGCTTTTGAAGGAAAAATTTGATGCCCTCTGTTTGTGATGTGGCCTTTTCAATAATAGTAGCTTCTTTAGTTCATAAAGAAAAAGAAATGAAGAGCATCAAATCGGTATTTCCCACATCATGTGTTGTTTAGAACAGATTTCACTAGCGAGATAATGGCATTTGTAGTTCAGATTCCCTCGGTTTCGAATTGCATCCATCCTTTCGTAATGTAGATATTCCTTTTTCAAATATGACCTTTTTACCTTTGCTGCGAGGCCCCTCGAATGCTCCGGCGTTTTGAATGACAGTTTGAATTAGAGAACACTGCGTTCTGTATGTACAGACTCAGTTCCTGGTTCGTATAGGATGGTGGTGGACATTGAAGTCTTGCACTGAATGAATAGGATGAAAAGTCGAAAAGCAACTTTCGGAGCCTTTCCCCTTTTTCCCCTTGACGAGATTTGTTGAAATGAGGGTTCGAAACAAGCAACATTTCAAAATTGGTCTTGTATAGCAATAAATCAATGTGAAACTGCAAACAGCTTACAGATTTTGGAAACGTCCAAAAGAGCAGAAACTCATAAACATCATCCATTTATACTATTTTCAGCTAGCCTAAGGGCCAACAAACCCAATCAGAGAGAGAGAGAGGATACCTCTTCTCAAGGTATTTACTGTCGTTAACTCTTTATATTTACATGGAAACCCTCTAACTTTCCACATAAAAACCCACCGTTTACAGCTCCCAATGCGCCTTCCCATGCTACATGCAGCCTGTGCTCTTTTCAAGTCCTCAATGTTTATCATCCTCGCTGAAATCTTACAGATCTGATACAACTTGTGGGACTGATATGCGATGAAACTTGCAGTTGAGGGGCTCTGGCTCAGGATGATTTCATAACTGGCTCGTGGTAGAGACAAGGCTTTCAATTAAAAGTTGCCAGAGTGAGCTTCCTGCGACCGCTCTGCCTCTTGGAGCCAAAGCTTGATAGCGTACTGCGTTGACGAGCTGATCTTTCGGGTGAGTGCTGAAACCAGGATCCCTCCACGATTGACTGAACTCGGTCAGGAAGCTGATGGCTTCCTGAGGATGTGCTGGGCATCTTGAGTGCGTGTGTTGAGCCAGTGTTCAAGAGCGAAATAATCAGCAAACAGAAACAAAGCAAAACTCTACCATCATAAGACTGCTTTTTGAACAAGGAAGAATTAAATCAGTATCCCGTGCTTAGAAATATTGTAAGAGATTCGATGACGTAAAATTTCCTCACAAAATACTCTGACAGTGAATTACCTGAAAACATTTATTCATATTAGGAACCGGAAGAGTGCTGTAAAGGTCTGTAACCACCATCAGTTAAAGCCCATGTTCTTGCAACAGTGAGGCCATGGCTTGAAGCTTCACGAATGCAGCTGCATTTTTATACATCTGAAGGGTCAGAAGCTGTGTACATCAACCAATAGGTATTGAAGCCACTGGCATAAGCAGCGGTTCCACTCAGCATAAAATGTATTCCTCTGGTTCCCCAAAACCATCACCTGCTTCTACCTGGACAAGTAATCGAGCTTGGCATATGAAAATAGCTAGAGAAGAGGCAATTCAAAATGCTTCATTGTTTAAATTCCTCCTGAAGAATGTAAATACTAAATGCTGGAGAATTGTAAAGCAGAGAAGAGGAAAGAATGATAGTCTTTATAATTAGCAAATGCAGTTGAGCTAGACTAAAGTGGAGCTCGATTATGGTTAAAGACTATAAAGGAACTGTCTTTACTTTATGAAGGTGAATTTATCCATATTTCTACTGCTACAAACAGAAAGCATATGTATGGAGAATTTGACACCAAGCCTATTAAGCCAGTACGGGAGAAGATGGGAAAACTGTCTACCTGGAGTAACCAACGGATTTTTTCAAGCTGCAATTTGATTGGAACCATGCAGTGTAAACGTCATATCATGCATCAATTTGTAAATCATCCATTCTTCCAGCAACAAGGCAACCAAGCAAAATACAACCTCTACACATACCTGTTGCTTTAGACAAATATTGGGCAAAATCAGCTTTTCCTGTCGCACCTTTTCTGCTGCCAACTCTGGTAACTAAAAATACTAGTGAAGAGCCCATCAAAATGGAACAGTGAAAGGATGCTCCGTTTAAGTCCTCAACATCATTCATGAGGGAAGCCGCATCCTCAAGACTAGTTTCTCCCAAAAAAATTCAGAACGTTGCATAGTTGTTCACTCCGTAAATGAGATCTGTCACCAGCCACAAATGTGGACACACAGTCCTTCACCATAATCCAAGAACATCAAGTTCCAGCACAGCTTTTGTAAACTTTGTTTTGCTCCGGCAAGTTGTATAGCAAATAAAAGTCCAATAGAGTTTAAAGGTGAAAATAATGCAGAAACAGATCCATCCTGGAAAATTATCAACAATACAGACCCTCTTACAACGATCTAGTAAAGAAAAATAATGCCTTTTCAGCCTTTTTATGATTAGAACATCTGAATATCAAAAAGAAAGAAAAAGTGCCTCCCTTTAAATTACGAAATATCCACAACTTCTACAGCCAACGTTCATAAAGTTATTCCTCAAAACTCAGTTGGAAAAAAAACACTTCAAAAATAGTGTCTCAATCACTCGTTATCATGAGCTTCCTCAGAAAACGTGATCCTATGTCAATTCCATTTAATAGAATCAACCCAGTTGAGAAAAGAAAAAATCCCTATAATCCCTTGAGTCTGAAAGACCATCATCCTGCTTCAAACTTCCAAACCTTAATTTACCAAGAGGCATCCTGGAACGAAGATCACAATCTCAGCACTAAGTAACCTATGAATCGTCAATGTGCAAAAACTCTTACCGTCCAGTGACCAATGTGGAAACTGGAATACTATGTGACAAATCTCCAGCATAATTAGTATGCGACAAAGGGGAAAAAAGTTATCTTCTCACGCGGTAGTGGCTCGCCTTTGAGAGAGCAATACCCTCCCGAAAACCAAAAGCCCTGCAGTATGCTTAGGAGACTTTTGAGTAGTGGACGATTTGATGACCTCATACTGCTTCGAACTTTGAGATAGTCTCCAAAATGATTCTTTCACAAAGGACAACTAGCATATTCCACGCCGTTGTCAGTTGTTGCTCATGACCAGCAACGGTTTCCCCACATATCTGTGTCTTCGCAAGATCTAGCCAGTCAAAATTAATAGAGCTGACCTCAACTGTAATGAAAGATGAAGCATTGCTTCTTCAATCTCCAACATCATCCAGAAATATATCCACATCATTGACATCAATTTCATCCAGACTCAAGAAATCGAAAGTATTGTATATTTCTTCACAATCTAGATGAGTCCTATCACCAGCTACAAATGTAGATACACGATCTTTCACCTTGATCCAGGACCATCCAGGCTCCTTAATTACCCCCTTAGACTTCATCGTCTTCCTTATATCTGCCGCTTCCCTCCATCTCCCTTGGGCAGAATATATGTTAGCCAGCGTAATGTGAGTTCCAGCACAATGTGGATCTAACTCAAGAATGTGCTCAGCAGCGCGCCTTCCATGGTCGACATCACCATGGACTCTGCATGCTCTCAACAAAGTTGACCAAACAACATCATCCCGTTTGAATGGCATGATTTTGATAATGTTCTCTGCCTCAGTTAGGCGACCAGCACGACAAAGGAGATCAATCATGCAGCCATAGTGTTCCTTTGTAGGAATGATCTGGTGCTTCACACTCATTGTATCAAAATAACGAAATGCAAGATCAACCAGCCCGGCATGGCTACAGGCCGTAAGAACACCAATGTAGGTGATAGGGTCCGGTCTCAAGCCCACTGCAGGCAGTTTCTCAAATAAATCAATTGCTTCATGGCTGTATCCATGTTCAGCATATCCATTTATCATTGCCGTCCAAGACACGACATCATTGTTTGTTGCCACATCAAAGATTCGTGATGCTTCTTTTACACTCCCGCATTTGCCATACATGTTAATTAGAGCACTTTGTATCATAGACGTATGTTCTAAACCAATCAGCAGGACATGAGCATGCAGCTGCTTTCCTGAATCAAGGATAGCCATATTTCCACACACACTCAGGATGCTAGCAAGAGCAAACTCAGTTGGCTTTGGTCCTTCTCTTCTCATTAGTGATAGAAGCTCAAAAGCATCCTCACCGCATCGTCCATTTGAATACCCCGCGATCAATGTGCTCCATGAAACCACATCCCTCATTGTCATTTCATTAAAAACAATTGAAGCCGAAGTCAACTGTCCACACTTGGAGTACATTGTCATAACGGAGTTTGCCACAGAAAGAGAACTGAAAAGACCTATGCATAGAACATGGGCATGCAATTGTTCGCCCCAGTCAATTTTGGTGAGATTGGCACAACCAGATATAACTGCAGCAAATGTGTATGCATTAGGGCTAGCATCTGATTCTCGCATCTTTAGAAAAGCTCTGATGGCAGATTCCTCCTGACGCATCTGAATGTATGTAGTAATTATTGTGGTCCAAGACACCACATCTCGCGTTGGCATCCTTTCAAACAATCGCAATCCATAATCCAACTTTCCACACTTGTTATACATTGTCGCGAGGGTATTGGCAACAAATGAGGTTTCATCGAATCCTTTCTTTACAGTGTGAGTGTGTATCTCCCTCCCCTGGTCCAAAGCACCCAAATCAGCACATGCCTTCAGCGAAATGGCAAATGTATATGTATCACATTGCACCTTCGATCTCCACATTTTGGAGAAGTACGACAACCCCTCCCTACAATTACCACTACGAACTAGTCCGGTGATGATGGCCGTCCAAGAAACGACATTTCTCAGCGGCATCTCATCGAAGACCCAACAACCTAGCTCGGTTCTGCCCGTTTTAGTATACATGTCCAAAAGGGTACTACCCACAAAAACGGAGTTCTTTAGTCCCGATTTCACAGCATACCCATGTAATGACTCGCCAAGTTTCAGATTCACGTCGAGTCCACAGGCCTTGAGCGCGAGACTGAGGATGAAAGGGTCCATCTTGAGCCCCGGCGCAACCCACATATTCAAGAACAAGCCCAGAGCCTCGCCGGCGTTCATGGCAGCGACATTTCCGGAAATCATCGTGGTCCACGAAATCTCGTCCCGGCGAGGCATATCGTCGAACATCCTGCGAGCATCGCTCAACTGACCGAGTTTCACCAGCTCCTTCAATCGCGAGTTAACCTCGGGCAAGCTCGGACGACCCGCCACATCGGACTCGGTAGTGGCAAAGTGATCCGGCATCGTCCCTTGGAACAGGACACGTCCGTGATCAGCGCATGGCATGCTCGAGCTCGAAAACATCCTCCAAACGCGAGGCCTGCCTAGCGAGCTCATCATCGTCCTATACATGCACAGCCACGTGACCCCATCGAATCGGAAGTTTTTCGTTCCCTTACGTTTTACCGGGGTCCTAAGATTGAAGTCGCAAGTGGTGCGACCTATGTTGGCTTGAAATCAAATTTAGGAAAATTCATACTCAAACTTAGTTGAGAATGTGGAGCGAGCGAGCGTGAAATCGAGTGAGGGCGAGAAAGAATGAAGAGAGATTCATGAAAGTGGGTTGGGTCTAAGTAAATTGTAATTCAATTTAACACTTATATTATATTAGGCTTTACCATTCTAAGCATATTCATGACTCATTTATAAAATATAACTAATTCATATAACAATTCAGATCGTCATATATAAATTAAAAAAAAATGACTTTACAACCCATTTTGATAGGTCTACTACAAATGACGACGAAGAGAAGGAGGCCCTCATCATATACGACCTGTCATCTACTAAAAACGGAAGGAAAGGTGAGAGGCCGAAGCACGGCCCAAGCAAATCTGGCCCATGAAAACCATCAACAACAAATGAAAGAGAGATTGGTCGACGTCGACGACCGGTCGAAGTGATCATGTTTATAGGTTGTCACAATGCAGTGCAGTATATGGCCATCGATGACAGGACATCTCCGAGGATCAGGTTTTCGGGAGATCGGCGATCGTTGGATCGGCGATTGTTGGATCACGAAAAGACGAATCTCAGTCTATCTTCGAAAATCTTTGAAACACCTATGAGGTACGACAAAATGGGGTAGAATATAATAATTTTTAGGATGATGGATCGGTCCCTCGAGAGATCATGAATACCGATAGGATATCCTCCAAAATAATCGTAAAACATGGCTTTTAGTTTTTTCATGGATGATAGGTCACTAGTGATGTTTTCAGGTGAACAAATATTGTTACTGGTTTATCACATCCTACATTAGCCGGTGGTCGCCGTATGACCTCCGAGGTGAACTACATCAACATTCGAGAGAAGCACTAGCTTACGTAGGTTTCACAGATGATCGACAGAGTCCGTAATTGATCAACTTTCGCGCATCTAGCGGACCGGATGTTTTGTTCTTGCCTAACGAAAATCGACTGGTCACCATAAACAGATGAAAAACCGATTCTCTCGTGATGTCATCGGCGTCGTACAGCGCTGGTTTATTCGAAACCTTTTGGTAAGTAATCTTGAAGCAACATGAAGATTATAACATATGATGTGGTAATAAACTGATTTGAAACCACTTAAAATCACCGCCACTGCATAAGCTCCCACACAACAGCTTCTCAAATGATGGATGATGCCCTTAACATGAGCAGGAACCTATAAAGATCACACATCTATGCTTAATCTTAGCTTACCCTCCTGGACGAGAAACCTGCTCATCACTAAGAGAGGTTGCCCAATCCCAAACGTAACATCATTGTAATCTATAAACTCTTTAAATTTTCACGAAACCTGCGTAGTGTTTTACTAAAATGCGACCTCTCAGTTCCCATTCGGCCTTCCCCTATTCCGTGCATCCCGTGCTCTATTCCATCTGTCGATGTTTGTCATCCTTGCAAAGATCTTTCGAATCAGATTCAACTTGCGGGACTGATACGCGATGATGTTCGCAGTCGAGGGGCTCTGGCTGAGGACCACCTCGTAACCATCTCGGAAAGAGTCCATGCCTTCGGTTTGAAGCTGCCAGAACAGGCTTCCCACGGCTGCCCCACCTCTTTTCGCTGACGCATACACCTTGTAGTAGACCATGTTGAAGAGCTGGTCTCTCTGGTACGTGCTGAAACCGGGGTCCTTCCATGACTTCCCGAACTCGGTCAGGAGTAATGGCTTCCTGAGGACGTACTGAGCATCTTGGATGTGGGTGTTGAGCCAATTGTTCAAGAAGGAAAGCTGGTACTGAACATTCGAACTCGATACCCTGCTCATCCCCCAAGGAGATAATGAACTAGTGTTAAGCAATTTCTGCAGCTAGGAAACTATGCCTGAAATGATTTTGTGTTCATGAAAATTATAACATGATGTTTGAATTTATAATTTGAATCTTTCCCATTGATTGGTAAAGAGTCTCTTAGGCCTGAAGAGGTAGCATAATGTAAGATCGTAAGGATAATTTATTTATCGCATCCACACTGGAAATGAGAATCAATGTCATCTCATCTACAAGGAGTGATTTTATACCGAAACATGTTTCGATTAAAGCAACCCTATGTCATTTCATAAGTTTGTATGCGGCCTTCGATTAGCATACTCTAGACAAATTGTCCTTCCAGACCGGTGGATACTGACAAAAATCAAGATCCTAAGGCTTATAAAAGTTTCTAATCTACAATGCTCATCTTCCCAGTTCAAGAACAGAGTCTGAGCTAATTTTAGCAATACATTGTACTCATACATCAAAAGCGAGACCTTTTCAAGTAGAGAGAAGAGTTACCATTGGTCGGGATATGAGTGAACGGTGGCAAAGTCAATCCCGGGAATTCGATTGTTTGCAATGAAGTCGGTTCCGATATTGAAGCCGGGATTAAGTCTCTTCCTCTGAGGAGTTGATTGTCCATAAAATCCTTCCAGACCCACTTCAAGCAAGTGATTCCGGTCTATTGATTTCACGAAAGAAGCCATTTCCATTATCCAAGCCTGTTAGCCAAGCACCAACAATTAGGTATGAGGTTCATATTTTTAGCAGAGGAAACCAAGAAAGGTTTGGCAATTATTGCTCAGTAACTACATTTAAAAGAATCTCTCCTTTTTCTTTTCTACTTAGGTATAAATAGTACCATTCATGCAGGGGTCGACTCATGATGGTGGTAGCACAGAAGTAGATAATGGCAAGTTAACATGTGAACTTTAAGTTTCTGAACTGGCAAGGCCATGCAAGTATTTGCTTTTGAAGTGAAGTTGTCGCTGTCAAATGTCAATGCAGAACAAGCATGTACAAGTACATGTGAATTCAATGAATGTGTGCACGCCGGGAGAAATTCATTGGAGGTTGAGTGTAGACGATAACCAGAGAAAAAAAGGACCTAAACTCCGCGGTAAGTTTCTAATGTAAAATCAGGAGGATTATATCCGAATCCATTTATACAATTAGAATAGATATATTTCTCCGAGAACTATTACAGATCGAGTTAAACCACATTTCTTTTGTGACCTGAATGGTTCTTCCTGAAGTATCTGATGTGCATCTAGGCTCGTTCATGAGCTCCCAAGCCATGATTGTTGGATCATCCTTGTAGTGGACTCCAGTGAACTTGTTATACCTATAAAGAACAGTCTGCAGAAGCAAGTTTGCTTGAATTAGAAAGAATAGCACCATTTATGCTCGCAATTCCATAACCATGATTCACAAGCAAAGATCTGAGACATAATGAGAAAAAAGAAAGTAATAAAAAAAAACGAAAAAAGAAAGAAAGGTAAAAACAGATTGATGCATCCTTTGCTTTACCTTGACATGATTCTTGTAAAAACCTTTGACAACAGGGTTCCTGAAGAAATCATCATCTGATGTCAAGTACTGCCCTCGACTCCTAGCCCAATTCACGTACTGCTTCTTTCCTCCAAAGTTCTCATAGTCATTCACTAAGCTCAGTATCAGCTTGATCCCGTACCTTCTGGCTTCAGCTAGCACAAAATCCAACCCCTTGAGAGAGAGAGAGAGAGAGAGAGAGAGAGAGAGAGAGAACCCAGACATTAGTATCTTTCTTATACCAAGAAAGCCGTTGGCTTTGCCCTCTTTATGAAGATAGAAGAAACAGATCAGTATGTTTTGCACACAGAATTTAAGACATTTGAAGACCCACAATCCCAATTTCATGAAGAATCATTGTGAGAATTAATAAAATCACCTGAAACATCTGTTCATTGTAGGAACCAGGGGAGTACTGAAGAGGCCTATACCCACCGTCACTGAAGGCCCAAGTCCTGGCAACAGTGAGGCCATGGCTCGAGGCCTCCCTGAATGCAGCTGAGACCTTGTGTCTCTGAGAAGGGTCAGAGGCCATGTACATCAGCCAGTAAGCATTGAAGCCATTGGCATAGTAAGGGCTTCCATTCAGCAAGAAGTGTATCCCCCTGGCCCTCACAAACCCATCGCCTGCTTCCACCTGGCGGGCATGGAAACAAGCTTGGTGGAGGACAATGGCAAGGAGAAAGGTCAATGCAAAATGCTTCATGTTCTTCTCTTTTTGCCTCCTTTCACTCTCTGAGGCTCATGCAAGTGGTGAAGAATGGTGAAGCAGAGAAGGGGAAGAGAAAAGGGGTGGGGGAATGCAGTTGAGGATGGTTATTGAGGGTCTTTTAAAGGAGCAGCGGTTAGTTTATTGCATGAAATGAATCTGGTTGAGAGTGGTTTGTCTTTTTTTTCTCTGCTGCAGATGGGGTGCAGATCCACGGTGCTAATCCACGATGCCCCATGTCCATTTGAGCCACCAGCATGGGGACACCGGCTACTGTACAATGACTAGCTACTACAGTGACCAGCCGACTAGTAACTGGAGCTCTGCAGTTCAAGAATTTAATCACCCTTCAGGCATTATCATTGTGCGAGTGTTAAAGCCCGCTTGTCATGTGCTTCTTTCTTGGAGTAGCCAAGTGTTATTCCGAATGAGTATACGTGTCAGACTAAAGTTCATCTCTTTAATCCAATGAAGGGTAGTATTCTAAATCAAAATCACCTCCCTCTGATTGACACTGTGAGGGTAAAACGATCACGGTATCGTTTTACCACTCGATGTACACCGACACCCTTTTGCGCCTTGGTAGGCCAAGGTCATGATGATTCACTTGCATGAAAAGAGAGCAGCACTAAAGGAAAAGCTCTTCCCATGGTCCATAAGCCTAGAGGATCCGAGCCGCTGAATCGTGCGGTCCTCACGTAAGACTTACATGCTCCTGAGTGCTGGTACCCACCGGGCTCGTGCGCACCCGGTTCACGAAAGCATTTGCTCGCACTAAAGTGAGAATAATGACATGGGTCCGGGACTCCGGGGCACGTCCTAGATAAAACCAAAAAGGATGGAAAATGAGGGCAAGAACCCACTCTTCATTTCCCTTTTCCCTTTACACTTTTTTTTAACCCTTTTCCTTTTGTCACTTCCTTCCTTTGTGGCTTCACAGCAGGAGAGTAGAAGCGTCCAAAAAGCGAAGGTTGCCCCTGCGGACTCCCACACGCAGCCGTGTCCGCTTTGAATTGATTATGGCGATGCCCCCACGAATTTCTTGCAAGATCCTTTTGTAGGACAAAAGCATGTGTCTCTGCCCCACCCCTAACTCACATCCCCTGGTCCTAAAGTTAGGTTCGCTCATAAGCGGACGCTTCGTCCTTTGGTGCATCGCTATCTCGCAAGTACTGGCGTCAAATTTTCCCCTGGGGTATGCCCTTAAATGAATTTCGATTGTGTCGGGATGGTTCGCTTGATATCGCTAGAATCGTGTCGATTCGCTTGTCGGCTCACACTGTTTTCGCCGACTCTCACATAGTTGTTTAACGTGATACTTTTAGTTAACAATCGTTTAACCCAGTGAATCGCGAGTCACGCTAGCAACCAGGCCCTCTATTACGAAAATGTTTTTTATGCGTCACCTATACCGTAACAAACTAATCGGAAAAAATGAAAATTGAACGTGCAACGCACAACGGCCTCAAATAAAATGAGATTCACAGCACACGAATGAAGATCGATTGAGTCATCATTTCTACACGGTACATCCATCGCATATCGTGCGTTTCGTTGCGACGCAGGAAACGTCCAAAAGAAAGGGAAGAAAAGAATAGTGACTCCAATATGAATGCACATGAGTGGCCAAGTCACGCCTAAAATTACGGATCAAATTGCGCCTCTTTTCTCCTTTTTCTTTTCTTTTGAAGAAAGCAAAAGTCGATAGGCAATTGGGTTTTCAATATATATATATATATAAAAGTATTGGTAGTGATGAACCAACTCTATGAAATCAATGTTGTTCATTGCTGCCAACCTTAACTTGATGTTTCGTCCAAAGTAAATTGTAATGAAGAAATTGAACATTTGCAACCTTCCATGTTGCATGTTCTTTAACTATTCCAATCTTACCAAATTCACTTTGCAAAAGAACAGAATCAGCACGAAATTCTTAATTCGAAGGGAAAACCTATGCTTTCGATACCGAAATGCTCCTTCTCTGCATCCTCGCTCTTCCGAGATGAAGCACGCTACTGAATATAAGTCAGTCAACTAGAAGCTTTTCTAAGAAAGAAACCAAATAAGACCTTCAAAAAGACTTATCCTCAACTTTGCTACGAGGTAGACAATGCACCCTTTTATAAAGAAAGGCAGGCAAATCAAGACACAATCAACTACTTTCGCCAAAGTTAGACTCAGGAAACGAATTTTGTTAAGAAAATTGACAAAGGTCAGGACCAAGTTTCAGCTACCAAGAAAATGGAGATGGTCGCCCGGTTTACCAACGAAAGACAAGCTGAGAATTAGCTTCATTCAATCTTGTCATCAGCGTGCGCTTTCCCAGTGACGTGACCTCTAGAATAGCATTTTGGGCAGAGAAAAATGCTGATGGTTTGTATCATAGTGCTCGAATCTGTCCCCCGTATCCATAGTACTTCAGAAGTCCTTCGTCTTGCCGCCAATTCTCTTTCACCTTCACTTCAACCTGTCACACAGCTAGCCTCAATGCATGTTGTGATTTTCTATTTCGGGATAAGTAAATGCATGTTCTGAAAGTAAGTACTGATCTTACAAAACCCAGAATAGCCTACCTTAGCTGTTATTGATTAGAGAGAGACATTGTAATGTACAAATAGACAAGTTTTCTTTACCTATACGGTGATGCTTTTGACTAGAAAATGTAGGGCTAGAGAAAAAGTAGAGAGTAATTAGGCACCTCGAGATATACTTTCTTCTGCAAGAAATCTTCAATATCAAGCCGAGCAGCAGTAGCAAGTAGCTTGAGAGCCTTCCCTTCCTGCAAATACATGTAAAGCTACATTAACCAATTTATATAGACTCATGTATGAGCCAACAAAAAAGCAGGCAAAACTAAATGTAGCAGAACATCCATCTTTTATATCTCCATCGTCCAAGCTTATGTTTTCAATCACATCAAATTCTTCTATATATTAGGCACAACAAAGGAGAACTAGTTAAATTCAAAATGCAAAGGGCTAACAGCAAAATATAACAATTGTTGTTGAAATACCAAGAAACAAAGCCAACCTACAGCATGCCACATGATGCATGACAATACAAAATTGAAAGCATAGTCTATCAAAAATGAGAGGAAAACATAGGCCCTCCCAGAAAGCATCTGCTCAAGAAGGCAGACGAGCCCAACGAGGTTGAAAAATGTCCCCAAGTAGCTGTTGATGGTACCTTAGTCAGTCAGATTATGCAATTAAGTGTCGAGGGTTTTATATCGGAATAAAGGATTGAAGTATGAAACTGTTCATGACATCAGAAGCAAAAACTTGAGAAGCCACTTTTCCATAACCAAAGCTATAAAGAGTACAGACATAATGAAAGCTTCACAAGTCACGCATGCAGATGCTGTTCATGTAAATCTCAAAGATAAAATCATTATAATCATGAGCCCTCCTGCAGCACAAAGGCCCAATTTTCTCAAGTTAAACGTTTATGTTGGACTTTGGAGGCTCCTAAGACTCAAAATTAGCAAAAAAGCCACAAATGCTCATGCCAAGGCACGTCCTCCTCTTCTCTTTTTTATGCTTGTCCATGCCCTGTTAGTAGCCCAATCTTAATCTTAATGCAGCATGGAGCTATCTCAACCTAGAAAGCACACCGATGTAGTTTTAGTTGACAGGAGAGATGCTGATGGTGCTGTCTATAAACTATCATGCAGAAACGATTAATATAGAGGGAAAAAAGATTACATAAATATATTTTTTCTTCTTTTTCTCCAATCTTTCTTATCTTTTTCTCTTACATAGGCAAGATCCAGAGCTTACTTTTCCAATCACGATGATCTTCTGTGAGTTCTTCTCTACAACAATCTCCACTTGTATAAAATCTTTAGCATTTGGCCTGGTTTTGTAGCTCACCACATTTACCTTGAGTGTTCAAAAGCCAAAAACCGAAGAGCAAATTATTATGCAAATCCTAACACTTTAACTCAAAACTAAAGAGTGAGGGAAGACAGAGACAGAAAGCACGAGATAAAGTTGAGATTGTATATGTATACCTGACTAGCATAAGGAATTTCATTGCGGTATTGCATGAAAATCTTCTCTCTAACTATTTCAGCCACAAAGAATCTTTCTGGATGCTCACTAACAATGTCCTGAAAGAACCAAGGAAAACACAGTTAAACTCCTCATCAGCAAGAAGCAAGACTTTCCTAAACCCCAACGTGACTGTTATGAGATAGGTTCATTAATAAGAACAGTAGTTCTGCAAGATGGCTATTAGAAAGGAAGCGAGTCATTCTATTAAATAGGGCCAGGATAAGAAGCTTCAGTGATAGATAATCTTGTAAAGTTCTGAACTTTACAATGAACTTTACAATGTTATGCTCCTCAAGAAAACGAACTGCCAAAACATATACACCACGTCTGGCCTCAACCTCCTATCATGAATCATAAGTTGCCACTCCGCCACTGCTACTATTGGATATATGTAATGAAAATTTTGGGTAGAATCTCTCTAAGGACATGGCACAAGATAGAGCAAAACTGCATAAAGGTAGTCAAACCCGCCAGAACAAAAAGAAAAGCTTTGTTGTCATTTCCTGCCAACAATTGCTGACTCAACCATATAATCAAGAAATGAAGAAACTACTGGATGGACCTAAGCTACAGTTCCCGGCTAATCCTTCAACTACTTTATTTTAAGAGTTTCAGTCAAACTCAGATTGATTGAGAACATTTGCTCACAGATCTCCAACAGAAGCATCTTATGAGAACCACTCTGATTCAGGTGTGGAATTTGAACACTCCAATTTAGATTTTGTTTACTCTGTATAGCATAAGAGATGATAAGAAAAGAAATTATAAAATGAAGTCTCTTCTCTTCATTTTAGTTTGTAGTTTACCAAAAAATCATTTCAAGATTCACTGTTTGCATGAAATGCTTTTAGCAAACGATACATCTAGCATTAAATAGATATATACTAACAGTAGCAGTCTGGAACAGCAAAATGTATGGAAGAAGAAGCCTGGTACATGCCTTGGGATAATAAGCAGGCCCCAGAGGAAGTTTGGATAAAATCCAGTCCTTGACATCTTCCACACCATGACCAAATTTCGCGCTCACCGGGATAACATCATCAACGTCTGTAAATTTCTCATACCACTGCAAGGATAGTAAATCATCTTAAGGAGACAAATAGGAGAATACAACACACGACATCTAGGAGATAATTGATACAGGAAAATTGGCCTCGGGACTGACTACATGCTAGTATGAAATGATGTGTAAATGCAGAAATTTAACCTCATGAATGCAATCACAATCACCAATAAACGATTGTCGAAAACTGATATTCCAAGTGAGGCATAAGAGCTTCCAGGGCTCAAGGACAAAATCCGAATCCCCAACAAATTAAGAGCAAAAGGAAAGCACAAGGTGCACAATCACATTTGGCAAAGTAAATCAGTCGCCCCGTCTACTTTCTTAAAATATTTTTCACAGTGACAGCAGGAGTCTGATCTAATGTAGGTCTACTCAGTCATGCCTGTCACTGTAAGAAATTCCAACCTGGAGCTTCTTTGCAATTTCGCCAGGTTTGATCAGATCCTTCTTATTCATTACTAGCAGAGTTGGCACCTTATTTTTCAAGTCCCGGATACCTTCTTCTAATACTTCGTCAATCTACATAAGCAAAATTCACATAAATCTGATGAGGGAAACCAAGATTTGCAAATCATTCTCTAGAACATATGCATACTTTCTCAGGTACTTTACATGCATCCACGAGAACTAGTACACAATCCGCATTGATAGCAGCACTTCGAATATTACTCATCATCATGGAGTCCAATTTGTGCATCTTCTTCTCAATTACACCAGGAGTATCATAAAGTATCATCTGCAAGAATAGTTGAAGATTAGGAGGAAGGAGAGACGCCTGTCGTGGAGATACTGATCAGAATCATTATGAACAGAAATCTCTCAGATTCACAGAACTATTATAAGGTTGTTTAAAAATTTTGGACATTTTCATAAGCATGGTCTGTCTGGACATAAAAAAGTAAGTGTCACCAAGGAAACAGAAAATGTTCGCTCTAAAAGTCTCTGGAGTAATGAACTTAAGTGATCATATAGGAATCCAAACCTATTACTGTCAAATTCATCTCTAGTGAATGAAGGATTATAATAACTCAAGATGGATAAATGGGAGACTTAGCCTCACGTCATATGCACAATAAGAACAGAAAATAGCAGGAAAGGAATGCTCAAATGGAGGATCACAAATCAATAAGCATACTTATTCTTTGAATCTATACAAGACATTGTCAAGCTATAGTTCAATCATAAAAGTCCCGTTGTAGATAGTCCATTACATTAGATGATACTACGGTTTTCACTTTATGCCTTCTGTCTATAGCATTAACTCTTAACACGACCACTTACTGCTTCAGTCCTATCCAGGAAGATCATAACTAACAAAATCTTACTCAAAACACAATTCTCCTCGTACCTGATACTCTGGTCCTGAACATATTCCAAGAACACGATGCCTTGTGGTTTGTGGCTTATCTGTAACTATTGACAACTTCTGGCCTATCAATTGATTCGCAAGTGTACTCTTCCCAACATTAGGCTTTCCTAGAACAGCCACATATCCTGCATTTGATAGCGCATCGTATAAGAACAACTAACTAGCACTAGGGAAACGCCAAGGAAACATGAGATGTTATGACTTTTTCAACTTCAAGTAATAATCATGTCATCGAATTGCTTTCGTAAAATGTGACCACTTTTGCTCCACTATGTATTATACTCTCTCAGGAGCACTACAGGAGGCACGAAATAATTCATCCTTGCCAGGTACCTTTCTCTAGTAATGCTCCACAGTTTGATACTAGGAGAAATTCCAGCAATTAATCAAACCCACATCTGTTTCACTCCTCGCCTAAGCAACACCTCATAATGCCGCAAGAAGAATACTTTGCAAGACATTTTCAGGATAGAGGACACATTTCCGGATTACCTCCATCAGGATACTACGATTTTATAATCTACATGATCAAATTTAATCAAATTCAGCAACGTAAAAGACAATAGAATAACCCCGCCAGCTGAAATTCAACCATTCAACCATTCATCCATATATTCAGGAGACAAAGATACAAGGCACCAACCACTGAACTAATGCAACTCAAAATTCAACACCTCCCTAGGACTAGCCGTTGGGAACTTCGAATCAATAAACGACACACTTACCGCTTCTGTGATCCGGGCTAGAAGCATAATCGAGCTCCTCCATCTCGTACTCATCGAGCAACGCCGCGCTCCGCTCCGGCTTCTCGCTCAACGACAACAACAGAGCCTCATCATCGTCATCCGGAGCGCCGGAGCTCGATTCTCCCAGGCCTTCCTCCCCGCCGCTCTCCCGCTCGTCAATCCAGAACTGCCGCCGGCGCCGCGGCTCCAGGGCGACGCGACGGTGGCCCCCTCCCGCGGCGTCGGCGGCCTCCCCGGTCCGGAGCCGGCATCCGGTCCGCGGAGCCGCGGGGGCGGCGGCGCTCCCGCGAGGAGGAAAGCGAGAGTGGCCGGCGGAGGCGAAGCCGGAGTGAGGAGAGAGCGCCGCGTTGGAGAGAGGGCGCAGCGACAGCTCCATTCGCCGGAGCTCCGGCCACCGCTAGTCGCGTGTCGGTCTGCTCATTCTCCGAGCGAATTATACTCTCTCTCTCTCGCGGAGTTTCTGTTGTGACTGGATAACGTGGCCGCAATGGAGCTAGCTTTTCTGGTTCCATTTTCACCGAAGCGCTTCGACCGAAACGCACCGTTTTGGAGCCGGACGACACCGTGTGCTTTGTGCTTGTCCTCTCCGGCGACGACTAATTTCCACGTAGGAAAATAAGAAATTTTTGTCAGCGATACCGATTGACTAGGGATTTAAATAACAGAAATACGAGATTTCTAATTTTTTATTATTTAGACACCAACTTAAATCAGAGATTCGATTACTGCAACGGCCGCATATTGGGCTAGTCTCTCCCAAATTGGTACACTCGTACTAAAATTGCTCCAAATTAAATTTCGTGCTGCGAATGGTACAAGCATACACTATTTTAAAATTTTTTTATGACAAGAAAATTAATCTGTAGTAAGGGTGTGTTTGTTTTGTGAAAGTGTTTTCCTGGAAAGTGTTTTCCGAAACTTTCATCCTTTTTGTTCTCCAAAAATGATTTGATAAACGGAAAATACTTTCCGATCAACACAAATATCATATTTAATTTTAGGAAAGTAAATTCCCTTATCTAATAAGGTGAAAACACTTTTCGGAATTACTCATCTTGAATTTGTTAATATTTTTTCTTTTCTTTTTTTCTTTCTTTTTTTTTCTTTTTCTTTTTGTTCTAAGAAGGAAAACATTCAAGTATTTTCTTTTCCCGATAAAAATAATTTAAAAATAACAAATAATTTGAAATAATTTAAAATTTACAAAAATTTTGATAATTTTCACGATCAGATTTTCCTCACCAAACAACTGAAAATACTTTCCAAGTATTTTTTAGGTTTTAGCCAAACACCGAAAAATGAACGCATTTTCCGGGAAAATGATATCCTATAAAGTATTTTTCAGAAATGGTATATTTTCCGCGAAACAAGCGCACCCTAAAACTCTGTTCGTTTCAAGTGAAATAGATTATTTGAAACATATATTCCGAAAAATAATGACTTGTATGAATTACAAAAATAAGTGAACGAAAAAGTAATTTCATCTTCTATGAATTATTTAGACATATATTATTGTCGATAATTAAAATACTTTCCATTGATTAATTATTTCAAACGATACAAGTGATCATTCTTAGAAAAATATTTTTCAAATTATTATTCATTTTCTACAAAATAAATATAACCTAAATGTAACACAAATATAATAATTTTGAGATTTTCGATGACATAGTCCCTTCTATTTTTTACCATGACACGTTAGCCCCAAACAAATACAATCCCTTAATGAAGGGTTAGAATAGTACCCGTCGTGACATAACCGTTATTGTTTTGCAGCATCACCCCCCAACATTCAATACTCAAAACATGCTCAACACAACAAATATCAATCTATTCATAAAACTTGCTAAACAACTTCGCCTAAGATGTCTTCTGCTACAAAATCACCATCCACAGAGGCTCAAAAACAAATTTGGCTCCTCCAAGTCCAGAATCGGAACCTCGCAGACGGAACTCGCAAATCGGGCACCAGAGGCCGAGAAGAGCTAAAGCAAAACAATCATGCATTTCCAACAAATATACAAACTCGGTATATCAACCTCTGGATTAGCTGCAACATCGCAGCTTGGCATATTATTTTTGTCGGAACTAATACTGCGCAGCATGCTTTGCGCTCTCACAAAGAGAAAAATGATCATTCACAAGGCAGCAGTTGCCCCTTCTTATTCTCTTCCTCTAATGACAGAGCCCATCTTAGTAGACTCTGGAGGAAGAATGCCTCACTCGGCGTCGTTGCTGCTTCCGCTAGCCTGATTATCATCGCTGCACGATCCATCGCCCGTCTGGAGGTATGACCATGCTAATGCCGAAGCACCAAGAGATAAGGCAACAGCTATTGAACCCCACACCCATCTCTGCCTCCTCTTCCTCTGTTGCCTTAGTCGTCTAGCAGTCTCTGCAAAGACAAACAATGGGAAAGGTTAACCTTGAGAGTCAATGCTTATAGATTTGCTTTCATTCACCAAAAATCTCCAACAGCCAATAATTTCAATTCAATTTTTCCATGATGACCTCAACGAACAATCCAATGATAGAGAACATCAAAAGAGATTATATAGTTTATCTCTGGAATACAATCCCAAAACAACGTTGGCTGAAATACAGATGACAACAACGACAATCAAAAGACCAAACATTTACAGGGTTCATAAAAAGAGGGATAATCCCATCTGAGCAGCCAAGATACCTCGGAATCTTGTCAAAAATGTTGTACAGTATGGACAGGCTTCTTGTTAGCACAGTAAGGTGGCCGGACAATGCCAAAAAAAAAAGTCACCAAGTAATAGGGCGGTTTTCAATTTACAAATCCATGGACTACGTATTAACCATTGTATATGCAACCAAATACAGCCACTGATCAAGGTGAAACTAACTCGTAGGAGAAGCACCTGAAGATTTTTTCTACTATGAGAAATGTCAATCCTCGGAAATAGATCCAAATGCTACAATCAGGGCAACATAGCAGAAATTAACCAATATTTTGAAAACAGGGCAGTTCAACCAGAACGACAAGGTACCAGTCAAGACCGTTTCAGGTTGAACCGGATTGACCAGTCTGGGTTAAGCAACACCTGTCATGATTTTCCAAACTAATCATGTCATCCCTAATACTAATCAGATCTCATAATATCGCCTTTTCTTTTACCACTACGAATTATGTCGGTTCCAAAGCTACAGACAATAAACCATTGTTCTGCTCTTCCAGATTTCAACATTAAGTTTACGTTTATTCCTATCCAATTAGTAATGACTATGCTTCAGCCACTTGAGTTTATCACTCCAAGGCCCAACTGTGGATTCACTCAATCAAGTTTGTTAGCACTTTTTGTTCTCCCAAGAAAATGTATAGGGGACCGAGTTCAAACCTAAGTCAACATCTAAACATGTACACTAAGGCAAACAAAGCAATCCACTATTCTGCCACAATGAGCAGGAGAAGGATATATAATTGTGTAAAGATAATTGAAAAGAAAATATATAAACAATAAGGGATGCAACAGCAAATGAGAGCAACTCATTTGCTTGAAACAGAGGGGTCAAATGAGCTTATGCATCCTACAGGCTCAAGAGTACAGCTTAAAAGGGCTAGGTTCAGAAACTCACCAACAGCTTCTTGGTTCCTCTGAGACATCTCGTGATTCACAGCCTCATAATAATGCAGTCGATCCCACAAACGTGCAATCTCAAAGTTCTTAGCCTCAAGCTGAGCTTCCATTTCCGTCTCTGCTTCAGCCTTGGCCATGCCCCTTCCAATTGCTTCAGCAACAAAACGAGCAAGTTGAACTTGCTGCTTGAGCTGTTCTGCAGCCTCCGCATTCAATTGATCAGATCCCAAAGTCAGATCTGGAGGCAGGGTAAGACCAGCCAGTGATAGCTGTTCTCGAATCCTATGCCAATTGCTTTGCATATTGCTCAGGGTTTCTTCTGCTTGCTTCCGCTTCTCAATCTCCATTAATAAACTCAATCTGATCTCTCGCAATTCCTCTTCAAGATTACGCAGAGAAGATTGTGCCCCACCATCGGAGGATAGTTCTGTTGGATGCACACAAGCCTTTCTTAACAAACGTAAATTTCAGGAAACAGGATTCTCAAATATGTCACTATGCAAATAATAATTATAGAGAGACCCACAACATAGTAATGCTATGGTTACTGATCTGCTTCTTAACCATCTGACCCACAACATAGTAATGCTATGGTTACTGATCTGCTTCTTAACCATCTGCAATATGTAAAACCCTCCCTCCCTTCCTCTCTCTCTCTCTCTCTCTCTCTCTCTCTCTCTCTCTCTCTCTCTCTCTCTCTCTCTCTCTCTCTCTCTCTCTCTCTCTCTCTCTCTCTCTCTCTCTCTCTCTCTCTCTCTCTCTCTCTCTCTCTCTCTCTCTCTCTCTCTCTCTCTCTCTCTCAACCATCTGCATAATATGTAAAACACTCCCTCCTTAGCTTCCTCTCTCTTGCTGTAGTTAAGTACAAAACGCTTGTCTAAAACATCCAGACAACAAGAACAAGATTCAAGAAATTAAATGAAACATGCTATAGGAAAACAAAAGATCTAAATTACCTTCCCATGCATCAAAGAACTCTCCCATTGGCGTGGTGAACTTCAAAGAGCGTTCCGCTGTGCCACTGTCTTCTCCCTCAGTGTTACTAGTATAACTCATTGATTCCTGAGGATCATAAAAATCTTCACTATCGCCCTCTCTTTCAGGAGTCAATGGAACAGGAATAAGTGTATCAGTTTCTTCCGCAAAGCCATTATTCAAATTGCTAGTCCCAACTTCCAGAGCACTATTCGCAGATCTGTCACTGCTCCCGACCTCATAGCCATCCATACCATTCATGTGTTCATCTTCAACAGTATTAAATATTGTAAATGTAACAGGGACATCCCCCACAGAAGCAACCTCCTCGCTTTTTGCTTCAGTTACAGTCAAATTGGTGTTTGCTTCATCTGTGCTCTTCTTTCTAGAGGAAACATCATCCTCGGATAAACTCTTCACAAGACGCGGGCCGCGTCTCTTGTGATTGATAATGTAGGGGGATGGAGGGAATGAGGACGGTGAATCTGGAACAGGGGTAGTCTCTGGAGTCGCATAAAGTGCCGGAGTCATTTGAGGCCGCTGAACTTTCCTCTCCATGACTGAGGTACTTCTCCTCCTCTCTAACTTTGCATTCGGCACTGGCTCGGGCTTAGGCGGCTTCGACTTAGGAACAGGCATGGGGCTGTGAACAGATTTATCGACCGATCTGGATGTTCCGGGTTCCAATAGCCTATCCAAAGCTATTGCAGTAAAAGTTGGCATGGCTCTGTTGGGAAACAACACATAAAAATGACTTTTCCAGAGAGTGCAAAACATACGAAAGAATTAAAAGAGCGCTATGTGTGTATGAAATATTTAATAGAAAAGCAAGTAAACCTTCTTCTACAGACGCATAAAAGTATTTTCTTAATTTCCTATGACATCTTACGCGTCCATA